CACTCCCGACCCGCAGCCCCCTGCCAGCCCATCCTGATCTATCCTCCATTAATTTATCTAGTTCTTTTTTGAATCCTGTTATGGTCTCGGCCTTCACAACATCCTCTGGCGAGGAGTTCCACAGGTTGACTGTGCGTTGGGTGAAGAAATACTTCGTTTGTTTTAAACCTGCTGCCTGTTCATTTTATTGGGTGGTCCCTAGTTCTTGTGTTATGAGAAGGAGTAAATAACATTTCCTGATCTACTTTCTCTACACCAGTCATGATTTTATAGACCTCTATCATATCTCCCCTTAGCCGTCTCTTTTCCAAGCTGAAAAGTCCCAGTCTTGTTAATCTTTCCCCGTACGGAAGCCGTTCCAGACCCCTAATCAGTTTTGTCGCCCTTTTCTGAATCTTTTCCAATGCCAATAGATCTTTTTTGAGATGGGGCGACCACATCTGCCCGCAGTATTCAAGATGTGGACGTACCATGGATTTATATAGAGGCAACAGGATATTTTCTCTCCTATTATCTATCCCAGGGGTCGGCAACCTTTCAGAAGTGCTGTGTCGAGTCTTCATTTCTTCACTGTAATTGAAGGTTTTGCGTATCAGTCATACATTTTAACGTTTTTAGAAGGTCTCTATCAGTCTAGAATCTAGAACTAAACTATTGTTGTATGTAAAGTCAATAAGGTTTTTAAAATGTTTAAGAAGCTTCATTTAAAATTCAATTAAAATGCAGATCTCATCAGTTTAGTATGATCCTTGCCCTTGCTGAGTTTCCCAGTGTCTGGCCCGGATTTGGGTACTTTAAGCTGCACATAGGCTTCTGAGTGATCAGTTGTTAACTGGCTTGGCTCCAAGAGGGACAGAGGGCAGATTTCAGGTGTGAAGATACCTGTTCACACAGGTATGTGGATCCAAATGCGGAGAGCATTGCCAAGGCAATTTTCTTCAAACAGTTCCATTTCACTGGCAGGGACGTCCAGCAGGTCAGAATAGAGGCCCCCATGATCTCTCTCGGTAGCTTCAAGTGCGCTCCGCAGAGCTCCAAACTTCGATGCCCACAATTCTGAGCTTTTTAACTGAACGAGCTGCATTTCGAAATCTTCAACACCCCTCCACTGAAATACAGACCAATCCAAGTCGCTTTCGTTCAACTTTTCAGGGTTAATTAGAAAAGAAAACATTGGGCCACATTGCTGGAAATCTTGAAATCTGTCAGAAAATTCCAGTTCCCGTTCTTGCATGTACTTTCCAATCTCATCGACGCTGACAGTGCAACGTGTCGATAGCTCTTTTACGTGTTGGAAGTAGCGGAAAGTCAAAGTTCGAATATCCCGAGAAAACACTGCTTGTTTTATAACAAATGCCTTCCAGGTTTCATAAAGATCCGGAACCGTTTGCCCTGCACCCTGGAGACGGAGGTTGAGTTCGTTTAGGTGAGCGGTGATATCAGTTAGAAACATGAGCTTACACAGCCATTTGTCATCATCCAGTTTGGGGTAGTTTGGTCCTTTTTCCGACAGAACGGCCTTGATTGCATCAAAACAGTTTACAATGCACACAAAAACCATGCCACGACTTAGCCCCCGAAAGTTGCTGTGAAGTGGAATGTCTCATAACACAAGAACAAGGGGCCACCAAATGAAATTAACAGGTAGCAAGTTTAAAACAAACACAAGAAAGTATTTTTTTCACACAACGCACTGTCAATCTCTGGAAGTCCTTGCCAGAGGGTGTTGTGAAGGCCAATACTATAACGGGGTTCAAAAGGGAGCTAGATAGATTTATGGAGGATAGGTTCATCAATGGCTATCAGCCAGGCTGGGCAGGGATGGTGTCCCTGGCCTCTGTTTGCCAGAGGCTGGGATTGGGTGACCGGGGATGGATCACTTGATGACCTGTCTGTTCATTCCCTTTGGGGCACCTGGTATTGGCCACTGTCAGAGGACAGGGTACTAGGCTAGATGGACCTTTGGTCTGACCCGTCTGGCTGATCTTGTGTTCTTATGTTCTAAGCACTGTCCATCTCTTCTAGCAGTGCTTGAAATGGTCTGTGAGTCAAAGTAGGTCGAGCCACAAGGACATTCACGATTCGCACCAGTGTATTCATCACATTATTAAGCTCTGAATTAGACATTTTAGTACACAGGTTTTCTTGATGGATGATACAGTGAAATTTGACCGTCAGGCCGCCAATTTGATCTTCAAGTAATTTTACAAATCCCTTGTTCTCTGACCATGGCAGGAGCACCATCTGTTGTCACACAAAATATTTTTCTGACGTCACCTCCTCATTCTTCAAAATAGTTTACAAAAACTTCTGCTATATCTTCCCCCCTTGTTGTGCCATGCAGGGGTTTTAGGCAATAAAGTTCCTCTGGATTTCATCGGAAGCACAATATCTTGCAACAACTACCAAACATGGAGCGTTGTTTATATCCACGCTCTCCTCAACTGCTACGCTAAGCACTGCGGTGTCTTTCAATGCGGTCCTCTGCTTTTCCTTAATGTTTTCTGCCATTTCACTTACACGTCTCTCAACTGGTCTGGCAGAGACAGGCAGGACTTTTATTCTAGATACGATCGCATCTTTATTTGGCAAATCATTGAACAAAACCTCCGAACTGCTGAGAAAAACTTCTTTTATATATTCCCCACCTGTAAACGGCTTTCCGTTTTTTGCAATGCACTGTACAATCTTGTAACTTCCTTCTGTGGCTTGATTTTTACTTACACTTAAGTATTTAAAAACACGGCTTTGCTTCTCATATTCTCCTACTGCCCTTTTGATCAATTCAGTCTTGTCTGCTTCGTCAAGAAAGGTTTTCTCGTGCCAGGGCCGCCCAGAGGATTCAGGGAGCCTGGGGCAAAGCAATTTCGGGGGAGCAGACATAAAAAAAGGTGGCATCCGCTGTGGCACTTGTACTCACCGGGCGGTGCTCTGACTCTTCGGCGGCGGGTCCGTCACGTGCTTTGGGTCATTGTTGGCACTGAAGGACCCGCTGCCAAAGTGCTGCCGAAGTCCCGGGGCGCCGTCGGGTGAGTAAAAATTAAAAAGGTGCCTCTAGCCAGGAAAGGGATTCTCGGCAAATTGCCCCACTTGCCCCCTTCTGGGCGGCCCTGTCTCGTGCTTCATTTCAAAACGTCGTCGAACACTTGATGTGCGACAAACAACACTGTCAGAACAGAAAGCCCAAACAGCTCGGTCCTTCCTGTGAATAAATCTGAATGTGTCTGTCCAAGTGTAGATCAATCTCTGATAATGTTCATATGAGTTTACATTGCGCCTCTTCGTATCACCTTGTCGGGGGGCTACCCACGTGGGACCTCGGTTTTCACGAGACTTCTACAAAGCCTCATGTAGAAACTTTGTCCAGGGGCTCGCTAGAGATCAGACACACTCCCGGCCTCGGGGGTCAGACGCCAGCACCTGCTTTTGGGAACCCCCCTGTGAACGGCCCCGGGACACCACAGAGGGAGCAGCACATCCAGCCCACCTGGCCAGTGCGGAGCGAGTGAGTGTGCATGTGTGTGAGTGTGTCTGTGTGTGTGAGTGTCTGTGTGTGAGTGTTTATGTGTGTGTGTGTCTGTGTGTGAGTGTGTCTGTGTGTGTGTGTGTCTGTGTGTGAGTGTTTGCGTGAGTCTGTGAGTGTGTGTGTGTTTATGTGTGAGTGTGTCTGTGTGTGTGAGTGTGTCTGTGTGTGTATGAGTGTCTGTGTGTGAGTGTTTGCACGAGTCTGTGAGTATTTGTGTGTGTGTTTATGTGTGTGTCTGTGTGAGTGTGTCTGTGTGTGTTTATGTGTGTGTGTGAGGGTCTGTGTGTGTGTTTGTGAGTGTGTGTGTTTCTGTGTCTGTGTGTGTCTCTGTGTGTGAGTGTGTCTCTGTGTGAGTGTTTGTGTGTGTGTCTGCCCCCCCGCCCCGTTAAGCACTTCCGGTGCGGTCCAGGGAGCCGCTTCCGCCTCGCTAGGTGTCATGGCCGCGCTTCCGGTCTCCGGCGGGGGCGCTTCCGGTGCCACGAGGGAAGTGTTTCCGCCCAGCTGGGGGGGGGCGGGTCTCCTGACGGAAATTCCGGGGATGGGGCGCGGCAACTTCCGGTGCGGAAGCCGGGCGTTCATTGGTGGGAAGCGGCCCGGAGGGGCGGGGCCTCCTGCTCGGTCCCTATTTCCGGTGGGGGCGGGGCCGCGTGGGGACCAACCGGAACCAGCCCGAGGAGCCGAGTCCTGGTGCGGGGCCGCCGGAGAGTGACCCGGGGCGGGGCCGTGGGGACGGCGGGTGATTGGGGGGCGGGGCGGGGGGCTATGGGGCAGGGAGTGGGGCGGTCGGGGATCTCTGGCAGTGTCTCTGGGGTGTGGGGTTCACTCTCTCTCTCCCCCCAGCCCCCCG